GGCGGGGGGCGAGTCGGTGCTGTGTCATTAAGATGGCAGTGGTCCCTTCCCCAGCCGTCTCCACCCCGCCGGCATCCCTGCTCCTCCCTCCCTACCCCCGCCTGGCCTAGGCGGACCTGGGGAGGCCCAGGCGGCGGGAGGGCGAGGTGTCCCCCCTCCGGCCTCCGTAGGCGCCCATCCGGGCTGTGCCCCAGCCCACCAGAAGAAATGGGCCGTGGCTGGAAGATGTGGTGTCCTTGGAGGAAGCAGCACACGGCAGCCTGGCCTTCTTTCCCTCCCCGAGCCCCACGGTGATGCCTGTCTATGTGCTTCCCCGCTCTGACTCTGTCCCAGCAGATCAGTGTTGGGAAGCAGGCTGAGGGCTTCTTAGTGGTTTCCCTCGTTTCCAGCCTCTGTATTTGGGTCCCTTGCCTCTTTGATTTAAAAAGGGTATCTCTGCTGAATGAGTGTGGCGTTTTCCAGGTGCTTATGGGTTGGGGAGGGCTCATTCTGTATCTGTTTTGGAGCTACTCCAAGCTTTTGAACACAGCAGCAAAAATAAAACAATGTTCTGTTAACCTTCCTCACACTGTAGTTTGGCAAAGTTCCCTATGGCACTGGGAATTAGGCTTTCAGGCAGGGTGGCATGGTTTTGTTGGTAATGGTTGTACCACGCTCTGAACGTGTGGACTGTGCGTGCAAGGTAAGCTTATGAGGAAGCTCAGGCTTTTCTGATTCGGTAGCATCCTGCCATAAATGGACAGGCAAACAGGTTTTCACATACATCATCCTGACAGGAGTACCTGTTCTTCTCGGACAGCCAAGCTGGGGCTTGCCATCTTATTTCCAACTAAATGGCTGGTATTTAGGAATGAGCCGTACCCATGATTTAATGAATAATGAATAGTGTTCCTAGAGGTAAGGCTGTGCCTGTCCTGGCCATTGGAATGGCATTCTTTACCACCTCCCTTCAGTTTTTCTCTCTTCTTCCTTCCAGGAGTCAGATGGCGGCTTGTACATCTGCATGAACACGTTCCTGGGCTTTGGGAAGCAGTATGTAGAAAAGCACTATCAGAAAACAGGCCAGCGGGTCTATCTGCACCTCAAAAGAACACGTAAACCGGTAAAAAATAAAAATAGATACAGTCAAATTTGTTCAGAAATTGAGAGCTCGACTGCGTCTCTGTATTCAATCAGATACAGAGTTTTCTCTTCTCAGATATAATTGATGTTGTTCTTGGTGAATTGAGGTTCTTCAGCTCTGCTTATATTGAATTGTTGTATGGATTGCCCCCGCTATTTCTGCCTGGCCTCTTTCTTTTTTCAGAGTAGCTTAATTTCAATCCTTAACGCTTGCCATAGCCCCCTAACTCTTATTTCCCCATTTCCTCTCAACGCGATAGAAGGAAGAAGACACCAACTCCAGTGCTGGGGACCCCCCAAGGAAGAAACCAACTCGCTTGGCTATTGGTAAGAAAGCACTTGTGTACCATATCGTCCTTGTTGTTTTGGACCTGCCTGGCTTTGTGGCACATCTCTTTTGCCTTTCCTCTTCTGGGCTAGTTGAAGCTAGTATCCCCGGTGGAATTCAAGCTTCATGTTTTCTAGTGTGTCTTAGGTGGGCAGTTACTGCAAAACAGTTGTTGAGGTGTTAGTTTTGTTCTGTGCTCAAAGCTGCATCATGTCTTCTGTAGATAAATATGTTTTGCATCCTCTCTTAACTCTGTATGCCTGACTCAGCGTGGTGTAGGGCTGTTGCTTTATATGGATGCATCCAGTGTGGGGCTGAAGTTTGAAAAAATGTGAAGGTCTGAGAAAAGTTTAAAGTTTCTGACAGAAAAACTGTTTTTTAAGCTTCTGAGAAATTGAACTAGTGTCATTCATACAGATGGGGAAGAAATTACTGGTAAATGCTGTATTAACGCTTTTGGCTCGATATTTCTTTGAAATACAAGGCTGATACTGGAGGAAATACATGCAAACATTAAAATATTAAAAACAAGCCCTTTTTTGGAAGAATGGGACTGCTGTTCCATTACTCTCTTGCACCGGCTGCAAAGGCTGTCATGGCAATCAGTGAAGATGCTGCTTATTTGGAGCAGTCTCAGCTAGTAATTTCTGAACCATTATGGAGAGCCATAAACCAGAGGATAGGAACATTTTTTAGCAGTAACAGGTTCTTGGCTTGCTGGAAGCTGACCACTAGAGGGAAATCCAAAACCTGGACAGTGCACATCTTGCTTTTTGCTCATTCTTTCCCTGGGTGTGCCATTGTGTAGCAGACGTCCAGTGACTCTAAGGCTGCCACAGTGCAAATGCCAACATTAAGACTCGGCTGCCCCCTGTTTTTATGGTGAGGTGAATGGAGTCCCAAAGGTCACTTCTAGCAAAATTGAGACTAGAATCTATGTTTCTTCAGATAGCCAGTGCTTTTATGTATAAGATTATGCTGCCTTTGGAGAGATGAGGCCCAGTCTGCATTATGAGTTATTTCTGCATCCTCAATTCCACAAAGGTCTTGAGACAGGTGTTGTCACTAGGTCAGCAAATAGCTGCCTGTGATAACAGCTTAGTGGCATGAATGGAGTGGGAGAGAATAAAAGAAAGTATTAGCCCTTTTGAGGCAGTGATCTTAAATCCAGGAGAGATTTTTTTTCTTCTTTTTTTAGGTAAACTGTGGTGGTTTAGCTAATCCCGACATGGGAGATTTTTTAAAGTACTAGAAAGATTTAGGAGCAAAATGTCATTGGCTGCAAAATGTAACCCTTAATCTCTCTGTACCTCAGCTTCCTTCTCTGTGGGGAAAAAAATCTGTAGTGCTCGTGTTCCATGCCCACGTGTGGGTTGAACGACTTTCGGAGTTTGTGGTGCTTAGGTAAAACCATGGAGAGGGAGGCAGTGTACTTCATGGCAAGCTATTGCCTATATGTGGGGGGAAAAAGGGCTAGGAGGCGGTCTGCTGGCTGAAGACCCTTCGCCTCATCTGGAGCCTCAGAAGGTTCATGTAACCAACCAAGGGGACCTCACCAGTCTGTCTTAGTTTGTTTAGAGTTCAGGAATTGTGTAATGCCCTGAGGGATTGTGTATTGCTTTACTCTATGAAGTGGTGACAGGACATCTCTCTGGGATGTGCTGAAGAGGATTATCTCGGTATGTTGTTGTATGATGTTGGTGACTGTTTTCAGGTATTTCTAAAATCACTCAGGCTTGCCGCATCTGCATTCATACATGGCAGTTTGTGCATAGTCTAAAAAAATTAGGTATTTGAGGGGAAGGTTGCAGGAAATATTGTGGGAACCGGGTATTTTTTCAATGTTTTAACTAAATGCAGTAGCAGTTATCAGAACTGTGTCACACACGATTCTTGAGGCTGAGGCATTAAGCAGCAAAACCTGGTGTTCCCTTCAGGGATTTGTTGCAGCGACAGATCTTCAGAGATCTATGGCATAGATCTATTGCAGTCACAGCATGCCATTTCTAAAGAAATAAAGGAAATTCAGTTAAAAAAAAACATAGGGGGCTAGGACTGCTAGTAAGCAATGTGTCTTCTGCCTGTTTCCTTCTGGGATGTAAAGTGTCAACGCTTGGAGAACAGGAAAGGCCCAGGTTTTTTCCTGAGTACCGGCATAAATAAAAAACTGTTCCCTCTGCTGCAAATTTTACTTTTCGGTGACCGTCCATTGTGACTTGACAACTGGCAAATAACCCATTATGTGTGGAACTCCCATTTCTGTTGCAACCTCTGGAAAACATGTCTCGGTGGGCATGAGAAACTACTAGTGCTATACCATTCCTAAGACTTTTTCTGTAATTCTGGATGTTATGGAGTTCAAGACTCTGAACTGTCCTTCCTGGAAAAGGCAAGAAGCAGAGCCAGGCTCTGCTGGTAGACTAGACCTTTGAACAGGGTTAGAATATGATCACATCATGCACATCTCCGTTCATCATCTTGGATATTCTGTGAAGGATGAACAGCAAAGCTTTATCGTGGCTCTGTTCTGGTGACTGTCTCTCTAGAGCAGGTCTTTTTTTCTGGTTGTAGTCAGGGTCTGGAGATGCCTTCTAAGCATCTGTAAAAAGAGCTGGGAAAAGCAAACCTATTGTTGCTAGGCTTGTATTTGCTCCCGTGAAGTCCACCCCTCCAGCAGAAACTTTGGGATCCAGAAATAGAAGACAGGTTGTGGATCATTGATCTAGAGCTTTGCGTTAGTCATGGTTCCTTGTTTCATGTAAGCTATGGGCAATGAGGCCTCAGAAGCTATTTAGTTTTACCTGTTACCACAATGTTTTTTCTTCCTGTAGGTGTAGAAGGTGGATTTGACATTACAGAGGAAAAGTTTGAATATGACGAAGATGTAAAAATAGTAATTTTCCCAGAGCATTTGGATATTCCTCGCGATGGGCTGGAGGGACTACCAGACATGGTCAGAGACAGGGTATGTTTCGGTGGAGGGCAGTGTTTTCTATTGTTAAGGAGGAAATGCACCATTACAGAGGAGGAACCACTGTCCTGTAAAAAGCATCCTGCAGAACTGCTGTGAAGTCTCAGCTTGGAGTAATCAGGCTTGTTCTACACTTGCACAGTGCTTTATATTACGGAGCCCTGGCTTATGACTGAGGCTCCTCAGTGCTGCCCTGGCACAACAGACTTGCCGATCTGAGCCTAAATGTGGAGTGTTGTGGCACTGGAAGCTTCTCTCCTTGTGCCCTTCATTTATTTTTTTTCCTGCTGTCCTAATTCCAGATTGCCAGTGCAGTCGAGGCCATCCTGACAGCAGATTCAGCCTCACGGAAGCAGGAGGTGCAGGCCTGGGATGGGGAGGTTCGGCGTGTATCCAAACATGCTTTTTCCCTGCACCAACTTCAGAATGATGTCCGCATTCCACCATGGTGAGCATAGTACTGAAATTAGCTGTGTCACTCTGTATCCCAGACCCACCCCTATCACCACCTTCTCCTGTCCTGGACTGCAGCAGCAGTTGAGACTTCTTTTGGGAGTGTCTGAGTGTGCCTTAGATTCAGGGGAAATGGCAAACTAAGGTATTTCAGGATGCTTGGTGCTCTGAAAAGAGGAATGAGATTGCTTATACTATGGCCAGTGGGTAGTAATGGAGAGAGCCCGGGAGGCAGAACCCAAAGGTTTTCACCCTAATCTCTTTTTCTCTGTTCCTTGTCAATAGTGGCTGGAAGTGCAGCAAGTGTGACATGAGGGAGAACTTGTGGCTGAACATGACTGATGGAGCCATCCTCTGTGGTCGACGCTATTTTGATGGCAGTGGTGGCAACAATCATGCAGTCGAGCATTATCGGGAAACTGGCTACCCACTGGCTGTGAAACTGGGAACAATTACTCCTGATGGGGCTGGTGAGAAGGGGGATCCTGTGAGGGTTATAGACGCCAGGCACCACTAAGGCTGTCTGTGGTCTCTGACAAGGGAGGATTTCCAGGAATTAGGCTGGTGTTGCCCATCTTATGACCTGGAACATTCAGTGATCTTGATATCATGAACTTTCCCACTCTGACCTGCTTCTTGTGGCAGGCAAAGAACCAGCTGATAAAACCTTGCCTTCCTCCTCCCCTCCCTTGTAATTTGGAGGGGTTTAGAATAGTTATCCAGGTTGCCATCTTACCTTCTGTGGTGGGATGTTTATCAAAGAATTTTGTGTGCAAAGCCTGAATGGAGAGTATACGGCATGGTAACCCACTTCCCTCACTCCAGACATACATGTACCTCTGCACCTTGATCAATGACAAAGTTGTTTGTCTTGTCACACTTTTTGGAGGAACCTCAATATTCTGTCTTGTCATGGTACTCTCCTGAGAAAGGAGAGACACTGCAACTGCTCGGTTTGTTAAAAGTCCCAGTTCTGAGCACTCTGTTCTCATCATGCAGCAGTGGACGTTAGATCACAGACCATTGTAAGTCTCTCCTTTTCCTCTGTGTTCCTGCATAGATGTCTACTCCTACGATGAGGATGACATGGTGTTGGATCCCAACCTGGCAGAACACCTTGCTCACTTTGGGATTGACATGCTCAAGATGCAGAAGGTGAGGGGTGGGGCGGGGTGGGGGTGGGGATGGTCCTCCACAGGCCCAGAGCGGGAGAGAAGCAACTTCGAGGTGTCTTAACTGGATCCCAGCTTTCTGGGGCTGTGCAGAACCATTGTTCGTCAAGAAACCCTGGTTTTTGTCAGGCAGAGTTGTCTTGTCTGCCTCTCTTCTTTCATTGCCTTTTTTGCCTTTCTTTCCAGTCCCTCAGGTTTATTTCCTTGGGGTTTTGTGTCAGTACTGTGGGCAGGGAGGTTCCCAGGTGCTGAGCTTTGTTCCCTAGGTTCAGTATTAGTGTGTGATTTCCATGGCCCTTTACAGGGGATCGTTCTCCCATGTTTCTTATCATTCCTTTTTCTGTCCCAGGTATTCAGATATACGAAAACAATTCTTGTATCTTCCTCCTCTTCTAATTTAATACAACAGAATGGATTTGACCTATGTTTCTCTACAGCATTGCACTTTTCACACCTCTGATGTTCCCGTGAATCTTCTTTGAGGGTTTTTCCTGTTCTTTCCCTCCACAGACAGACAAGACAATGACAGAACTGGAAATCGACATGAACCAGCGCATTGGGGAGTGGGAGCTCATCCAGGAGTCTGGTGTGCAGCTCAAGCCCCTCTATGGGCCTGGGTACACCGGTATCCGTAACCTGGGCAACAGTTGCTACCTCAATTCTGTGATGCAGGTGCTGTTCAGTATCCCAGACTTCCAGAGAAAGTAAGTGAGCTTAATCACTCCTTTCCATTAGCCTGGGATCCCCTGGGATCAGTACAAAGGTCTCCTAGAGCTGGGAGCTTCTGTTACAGTAATCAGGCTCAGAACTGCCTCTTTACTAGACGAACCTGTACGTCCCTTAGATTGCTCCGGTTTGCTTTCCAGGTACGTGGACAAGCTGGAGAAGATATTCCAAAGTGCACCTTCGGACCCCACACAGGACTTCAGCACACAAGTGTACGTAGAGTTTTGGTGAGAGAAGGAAGGCTGAGGCTGCCTGGGTGCGTCCCCTCTGCGCTGCTACAGTGTGTTTTGCTGCAGGTTTCTCCCTCAAGCCTTGCCTCTCTGTTTCCGTGTCCATCTCTAGAGACACTGATCCTCAGTGTCTAAGCCAAGGAAGTTCAGCTGAATGCCCTAGTTGGAGAGGACAGAGTCAGTGTTCATAAGAGGGTCTTAAATGTATTATATGGGGAGCGCAGTACCATCTGTTACCACGGGGGGATTTCTGGTAGGCATATTTTGTCTGCGTAACAGCAAAAAGGTGCTTGCTTTCTGCGACAGAGGGAGATGGCTGAGAGCAAAGAAATGCATAGATTTAGGCAACTTTATTCTCAGTGGATAATTTATATATGCTTAAAGAGGCTTCCTGCAAGAGGTATTGTGCGAGCAATAGCAGGAGTATATACAGAAGAAGGAACACAAGATTTGGGAGGGTGTTGCATTTTAAATACATGAATTCTGTGCTGCAGCTGCTATAAAACAGCAAAGCAGTATATGGAGGTTTGGGGTGGAGGAATGGAAGGTGGCATTTGTGGAAGGCAGTTCAGTGGTAAAGGAGGATTCTAAATTTGGACAGCCTGGGGTGAGGTTCACTGAGGAGGGGATTAAGTCGAGACAGCCAGAAAGACTTTTGCCTGGGCAAAGGTAGGAATTGTTAGGGTTTGGCTCCAGACAAATGGCAACAGTGATGGGGAGGGACTGGAGTGAAGCGGACTAGTAGGAGAGTCTGAGCATAGGAGGGAATCACTGAATGTTACTGTTGTCCATTAAGTGCCTCATGCAGTCATTCTTGATCTTTCCCCTGGGAAAATGCGATCAGTCTGCTCACTGCAATGCTATTTCTGGCTCAGACAATTTCACTCTGCCCTGTTGTCTCCTGCACAGTCAGTTAAGATACACTGCTATTTTACCCATGTCAGGCTGCAGCTTAGTTTGGCTGTTACGCAGCTGCTGTATGGCTCAGCACCAGCTGCCCTTCTGCTGGGAAAAGGAAGCTGTTCCTTTATGTTCTCCCCACTGTGCAAGCAATGGTTGAGATTGGTGCCCAGAAGTCCTAGTAACTTTCAAGTCAATGATGTCGAAGATGATCTTCGCTGGTGCAGCTGATCTCTGTGAGATTGACAGTCCATGGCAGCTTTAAAGCTGGATGGGTTGATGTCGCTCCTGGAGCGTGTGGGATTGCAGAAACCTTTTTGATGCTAACAGTGACGACTTCATCATTCCAGAGCCAAACTGGGCCATGGATTGCTTTCTGGGGAGTATTCAAAGCCAGCTTCTGCAGATGGGGAACAGCAGCCCGATCAGAAGGTGAGATTTGGATATGGCATCCTCATGATGTGTGTGTTGCATGAGGCACTGTGTGCATTACATGGGGATGGAGAGAGAACCCTTTCTGAAGACATCGTTCTGGGGCCTGTCATCTGAAGAATAGCATGGCTAAGTGTAGATTGCTACATGCCAGGACACATGCTTAGCAAATTATGACCGCCTTCCTCTTCCACCTTGTTATTTGCAGGGTATGCAAAATGGCATTGCTCCACGCATGTTTAAGTCCCTCATTGGCAAGGGGCACCCAGAATTTTCCACCAACCGACAGCAGGATGCCCAGGAATTCTTTCTGCACTTCATCAACATGGTGGAGGTAACGGTTCTGTCAAATCAATGGAAAAGCCTAGCTTTGTTTTTGCCCCACAGAAGGGCTGAGGAGTAGAGGTGAGAAGCTGGCAGTCAGAGCAGAGAGAGGGAGAGAACACAGGGAAATGGGCCCAGCTAGCACCTGTGGGAGCAGAGAACAGTTGATGCTTGGCCATGTTTTCAGGGATGATTCCTTGGAGGAATCTCTTTTGGGAACTGCATAGCTGGAGATGTAAATTGTCTTCTTTAGGAACAGGAATGGCATGGGTTCCTGGGGTACAGAAGTTGGCTCTAGTTTACTCTTTGCTGTCTTTTCCAGTGAAAGGAGTACGGAAGTGAATACTCTTTAGCCATGTCCTTTGTGGAACCGCTGCTACTGCAGATACTTATTTCTGCCATGCTGATGTTACATCTATCCTTCTAATCTATCCTTCTTCAGAGGAACTGCCGCAGCTCGGAGAACCCTAATGAGGTCTTCCGTTTTCTGGTGGAGGAGAAGCTGAAGTGCCTGGCCACAGAAAAGGTGAAATATACCCAGCGTGTGGACTATATAATGCAGCTGCCTGTGCCCATGGATGCTGCACTCAACAAAGGTCAGTAATGTGCCAAGGCCAGAACAGTAGCAGACATGATGTTTGGGTATTGTACTTTTATTACAGAAATCCTTAAATAAGAAAGGGACTTCTTCAAGGACTGGCTTTGCTACTTCTGAAGCCAGATCGATCCTTCACCTGTTTTTGTGGGATCAGGCTGACTTCTTCAGAGGTGGTGTGACACAGTGGTGTCCCTCTAGAACCTTTCCCTCTGACACCACAAGCTGGGCTGTGACTCAACAGGAAAACAGGACTGCAGTAGCAGAGCGGCTCTCTCAAAGACATTGTCTATTTTGTGCTCCATTCTTGATGGCGCGTATCTATAGGCATATTCTGCCTCTGGGTGTAGCTTACACCAGTTGCTTTGTAGGTCCCTGGAGGTAGTCCTTGACTCGTCTGCTTTATTCTCTAGATGAACTACTGGAATATGAGGAGAAGAAGCGGCAGGCAGAGGAGGAGAAGCAGCCACTGCCTGAGCTGGGGCGAGCCAAGGTGCCTTTCAGCTCCCGCCTAGAGGCCTATGGAGCTCCGGAGGCGGTGG